TTCATGTCTCACTGCTAATTCTCACATTCCACCTTCATAAAAAAAAAACCTTTGGAGATTTGTGTCATTGAGCCCTGCTGGCCACCGTACTTGGTTAATATAACCATCTTCTGTTTATCTGTGTGACAGCTAATAAGTCTGAAAACCTTCAATGCAATATTTCCATGTTCTGTCCTGAAGAACTAAAGGTTTTGAAGAAATTACAGAATAATCATGTTACAATTTCAGTTCTTAGGTCCTGCTTCAATGTTTTAGTGCTACTCAAGTTTAAGTTTCAGAAATGTTTTTTTTTTTTTGCCTACAAAAATCCTTAGATTTCCGTTTCCCTGAGCCGTTTGGTGAACCAGGTTAGGACTGTTTTAAAGGAAATTATGAGGGCATTCAAATTATTTTTTTATGCTTATGAGATGTACACTTGTTTGGGCTAGAAAAAGTTTTGCATAAAGGGACCAGTTAGGATGTTATCGAGGGAAACACGGTTGCTCTAATTCGTTTAAGTTCCAGTTTTACCGGTTCTACTCAATAATCAATATCATCAATAATGTCAGTAATGATAGTTGTTGGAAAATACTTTTTTCCTGCTGGAATATTCCTTAAACTCATATCAGTGGAAATGGAAGAGCACATGTGGTCTCTAACCATTCCTTGCGTTTATGGGTGTTTGCTGTAACTTGACGTTTCTTGTACTGTAACTGCTTAAAAAACGGCTTTTCTTAGTCATTTGGTTGTCTGACAGTGAACTGTTGTTAAAGAACCTAAAATATGGAAAATAAAGATTTTTTTCCTCCAAGCTATTTCTGTATTGAAGTGAAGCTGTTGTAGAAGTAAGAATGTTTCTTGACTGAGATTTGTTTTTGAAAGCTATGAACCTTTTTAAGCTTCTTTTTTCTAACAAGATTATATTCTTTTTTTTATTTATCTCTTTAATCAAATTGTAAGAACAATTTTAATGTTATAAAGAGCCAAATATCAGGTCTGGTAAAATGAATACAAATTTCTACTATATCGATTTATGTCTAAAGCAAACAGAAGCGCACCAAAAGGCTACACGACAATTCAAACCATGTATATACATAATTCCCTGTATAATAAAACCAGTGGAGAAAAGAAAATGGGAACTTTGTAACATGGATAATATAACTCGCTCTCTGTTAAAGCCTTTTTTTAAAGACCCGTTTTAGCTGCCACAGGTGGCAATTTATTCCACAGCTTCGGATCCAGAAATGCAAAAGCTCGGATTCTAGATTTATAAAAAAAGACTTTGGAACAGAGAAAACCATCTGGCCTGCAGATCTAAGATCACGCACATATGAAGGGGTGAAGCGGTACAGATAAACTACATCTTCTCTGAGAGTAACACGAAACCTAAATGGTCATACAGGAATAAATTTGTCAGGGGGGGGGGGGTTAATTGTTTTTTTTTAGTTTTACATTAAAAGGTACGGAAGAGGATAAGGGCCACGGAAAAAAAATGATTTTTTTAATATTTCAGTTTAGTATGGGGAAAAATTCTGAATTTAATCTCATAATTCTGACTCTTTTCCCTCAGAGTTCTCACTTTAATCTCAGAGTTCTCACTTTAATTTTAGAGTTCTCTTTTTTCTCAGAATTATCACTTTAATCTCAAAATTCTGACTTTTTTTCTCAGAATTATCACTTTAATCTCAGAATTATCACTTCAATCTCAAAATTCTCACTTTAATCTCAGTTCTTTTTTTTCTCAGAATAATTTTTTTCTCAGAATTATGACTTTAATCTCAGAATTATCACTTTAATCTCAAAATTCTGCCTTTTTTTCTCAGAATTCTGACTTTTTTTCACTCAGAATTCTGACTTTAATCTCAGAGCTCTCACTTTAATCTCAGTTCTTTTTTTTTTTTCCTCAGAATTATCACTTTTTCCCTCAGAATTATCACTTTAATCTCAGAATTCTGACTTTTTTTCCTCAGAATTCTGACTTTAATCTCAGAATATCGGATCTTAATGTAGATGGGCACCATGAAGGAAGCTAATGTGGGAGCACTTAGCTTCACTGACAAGGTGTTAGTTGTTTGGGAGGGCCAGTAACACATTATTGAAAAAATGTAGAAATTAGGCAACTTTTTACGTCCCTGAGTGGTCCCCGATGATGCTATTTCATTAATGTAAGGGCAGAAGGTGATTAAAACAATAGATTTAGTCTCTAAGACAGACATGGCTACTGCTTGATGCCAATATATTTAGCTGTCAAAATTCTGAGAAAAAAAGTCAAAATTCTGACTTTAATCATTTCAAACTAAAGTAAAATGCAAAAATCTGTTACATTTTTTATTTTGTCAGTGGCCCTAATCCTCCTCTGTAAAAAGGTAATAAAAATAGAAATAAAATTACACCTTAATGGGACTAATTGCTTGTGGACTTTTTCCGTGGTTTGCAAATATATACTGTTTGCCATACCTTTTCAGAGCAAAAGTTAATGTCCAAAAATTATTTTAAAAAATACCAGCAATAAAGTAACTAATTGCTAATGGTAAAAATGAAGTTATGTCCCCCTGAAGGTGATTAAACGCCTAATAATACAATAATAAAGTATTTTATTTTTGTGTTACATCCAAAGCTTCCCCCTTTGCTTAACAGATATGATTATCATCCTCTTTAATGATCAAGACTTTGGGAATCAGTGGGTTAAAAGCAGGGTCCAAATCAACATTTAGAATTTTGGGGGGGAAATAACTTTATGACTCAGCAGAAAAAAACAACAACTTGTACCCTAACTTTAGCCAAGCTTGGTTCATATTAGCCTATGTTCAAAATTAGATATTTAAATTATCAAAAATCATTATTCCTAATTTAAAAAAAAATAATTCTTTAACTTGGCATAAGTAGGTAAAACTTATTTATCCAAAGTAAGTATCCAAATGAAGTATTTGATTTCAACGACCATCATTTTTCTGACACGCGGATTCGGCCTTGAACGCATCATCGCACATCCTGTGTTTCCTGGAAGGAGGAGCGACCCGGCGAGCGCAGCAAGTAGCGGTCTGTCATTACCTTCCTACCGGGATAACGGAACCGTGTCTCTGACCTGTTAACTCCCGTCCAGGACGTTAAACCGGATGCCTCTATGGTCCAGTTAACCTTACAGCGAGATACACGGTGTTCAGTTTACTCAAGGTGAGGCTTTTTCAGCTCGGACCTTACTAGCTAGCTCAACGTTAGCTAACGGCAGAAACTAGCGAAGCCTTAATGAAACAGCGATTCTAAAACAGTAAATGTGTTCGTTTTATTATACACTGAGTATTTAGAGTTTTTTAAAGAAATGTATTCAAACGGTTGTGTTTCATGGACGTTTTAAAGTTTCGTATGTTAACAGCTCTGGTGAGCGTCACGAACCGCTCTACGTGGGTTAGAAACTGGATGGAAATCTGTGAAATAAGTAGAAACGGCTGCTTAGCTCCCGCTATGGAAAAATGGCACATTTATGAATGGCGAGGTGTAACATTGAAAAGGGTTCTCTCTTAGCTGGAGGGGATTAGCAAAGGATTAGAGCTCCACAAGGACAAATAGACCAGAGTCAAACGGTATTTCTTCCTTTAGCAAACAAAAACAGCACCAAGATCTTATTTTGATTGAATCAAACCATGATGTATTTGATAGCTGAATGATAAACTAACCCCTGACAAGAGTATTTAAGAATGCACATAAAAAAAACTGTAAATCTTTAAGGGATAAAAAAACTGCTGATCTTTATTGTTGGTGTATCTAATAATGTTGAGGATTAATACTCTTTGCATAACATTTGTGACATATAAACCTTTATTCCTGCCTCTGTTGCAATAGCCAAGATTTACAGAGCTTATTTCTGTATAGTTTCTTTTTTTAATAGAGCAGTTCTTATAAATTGTGAGGTTAAGGTCTGCAATCTCCTTTTTAGGTTGCCCAGAATAAATGAAACAATGAAATAAATGTGCAGAGTGTTTTCTGTTACTTGAAACTGAAAAAAATGTGTTATTGATAATGAAAATGTCCTGGAGGTAAAGAGGGATTTTAATTTATTCTTTTTTTACTTTGAGAACATGTGTCAGACTCAACTAAAGCTTTATAAAGCCTGCTACCTGCTCATTTTATCAAAATTCAAAGATGTTAGTATCAAGGCATACTTGGAATTCCCCAAGTGATTGATAAAATATTTCTTTAGCCACTAAAGATCTTTTACACAGTTTTTAAAAATGTTTTTTGGTGAGGAAAATGAGAAATAAGTGGATAAAATGACCTGAACTGGTAGTATGTAATTAGGTTAGAGGGTGAAAAATAAGGGGTTGGTTTGACCATATAAAAATGTTCTTAAATCATGAGGGAAAACTGTATAAGATACTGTTAAGAATGCAGAACCAGAGACTCCGCTAAAGCATAATTAAAACTATTCAATAGTCATATAAAGTCTCTGCAGTTCAGAAGACCTGGAGCCTTTAAAAGAAGGCTTCCTGGTTTTGAATATGTAAAACAAAGTAAACACATTTGTTTTGTCTTGGAAGTAGGCCTAAGGTTGGACAACGAAGTACTCACATTACTGGAGAGGAGCACAAACTGTGGAGGCAAAGGTTGCATTTTCAGAAGAATCATCCATGTTTTTTTGCTGTTTTTCTATTTCATCACAGATAATTTAACTGGAGGAGTTTTTAACGATCTTCACACCTTATTACATGTGGCGAAATCGTGTAAACATAGTAAACTCGTAGCATGAAAGGGTCAGTAGGACTTGGCTTCTATGGTAAAGCTGGTATTGAATGTGGAGAAACACAGTGATCAATTCAACAAGAAATGCAAAAATAATTAACTATTAGAAATATAACATAAAACATTTTAAGCTATTAAATTCTACTAATTAGAACGAAACTGTTGGGTTAGGTGTACATATCTAGTAGAGTATTGTTCCCGAAGTTTTGCTAAAACCTTCAAATTTACTGTAAGGCAGACGGTATCAGGAAGGCCTTCATGCCCACAGCCATCCCCATCTACACCATCTCCTTAAGAAATACGTGATGTGGGTTAAAATGCTTAATTTTTACATTGAATTATAAAAATTCAAAGACTCATCTGACTGGTGCTAGGATTCTTCATGTTCTTTTTTTTTTTTTTTTTAAACAAACTTTTAATGTTTTATTACAAATTTCTCAAATAGATCATAACTGGTTTGTACTCGTCGTGTCCCGCTTTATCCGGAACCGGGT